TCTGTTGAAAAGAAGACTTTAAATTTTGAACAAAAGACTTTAAATTTGGAAACGAGGACTGTAAATCTTGAAGAGAAAAATTTTTCAAATGAAATTAAATTGAAAGAAATTGAAAAAGTTTGTGGAGATATAAATAAATTTTTTTGTTAATTCTAAATTTTAGAAAATTTTGAATTTAAATTCTGAACATAAAAAAGAAATTGATGAATTAGAACAAAATTTCAAAAATTATTTGACAACAAATTTGAACAATTAAAAACTGAAAATGATCAGAAAGATGAGAGAATTAATTTTTTGGAAGAAGAAATTAAAAAGGTAGTAATTAATTTTATTTAAAATACAAGGCAGAAAAAACATTAAAATTAGAAATTTTTTTCAAGTGGCGGAAATTAACTTAGTGGAAAATGTTTTCCTCATGTTTTTTTAAGTTTTATTCAAAAAAAATTTTCGTTTGACTTTATTTATTTTTATGTATTTCTGATGAGGGAAAAATTTTTTTATCTAGGTCAGTTGGGTTCAAATATTTTTTAAATCTCGAGATCTCGATGATAGGGATAAGTTAAAAATCTCAGCTTCTTTTTCTATCCTTCATCATATTGATAGGGAATATTTCAGGAATTTATTCAGAATTTTGCTATTTTGGTTTTCCATAAATTAAACCCTAGTTTTTTCTCTAAGTAAATTTCCACCACTGTGTATAACAGTTGCTATTTTTTATAATTTTCGTTTTTTAAATCATGTGGTATTTTTGTAATTTGAACTAAAGTCTATCTACATACATTTTTAATTGAACCAATTCCGGAATTGGAACCTTCCCATCAGTGCTGGGTATGGCTCCGGGAGCTAGCTCCGGAGCCGGAGCCAAGAATTTGAAACCCCGGAGCCGGAGCCAACAAATGGCAAATACCCAGCACTGCTTCCCATCACTTGTACTCACCCAGCCCACAGGTCCCGAATCCAAAAATACCGATTCACTCCGATGTTTTAAGGTTTTGAATTGCCCTTTTTTCTACAAAGGAAAAATTAACCATTTCTAGTTAAAGCAAGGAAATAAGGGGAAATATGAATTCTCTAGTATTTCATATACCGTCAAATTTGGAGTATATATTTTTTATATTTTTCGTGAAATGAAAAATAATTTTGAAGTTTGGAAAAATTTTTAAATAATTTTTTTGGTTTTTTAATTTATAAAAATTTAAAAGATTCAACAAACAAGTTCAGACAATACAAATAAAATTAAAATAAAATGTGAACCCGGTGATGATAGAATTAAAAATTTGGAGGAGAAATTCCAACAATTAAAAGCTGAAAATGATCGGAAAATTAATTCTTTGAAGGAGGTATTTAATTAAAAATTACCAAAATTCTAACTTAAAAAAGGGAATTAGTTCCCAAATTTTAAATCAAAGGAAAATTGTTTTTCGTTTTAAAGAATTCTAATTTTAAATAAAAAAATTATTTTTTATTTAAAATTAGAATTCTTTAAAAAAATTTTTCGAATAAAATTAAATTGAACAGACAAATTCGGATAACGTAAATAAAATAAAAATAAAATAAGAAATTTTTAAATAAATTTTTATTTAAATAAAATAATTCAAAATAATTAATTATTAATTCTTTCATAAAAATTGATATAAATTCTGAGAGAATTAATTTTATATATTTTTGTGTTAATTTTAAATTTTAGAAAATTATAAATTTAAATACTGAACATAAAAAAGAAATTGATGAATTAGAACAAAAATTCCAGAAATTATTTGAACAATTAAAAATTGAAAATGATCGGAGAGATGAGAGAATTAATTTTTTGGAAGAAGAAATTAAAAAGGTAGTAATTAATTTTATTTAAAATAAAATAAAAATTAATATAAATTATATAAAAAATTTTTGACTTAAATCAGTTCTCAAACTTGTAAATCAAAAGAAGAGGCTTTTCGTTTTAGGAATTTTAATTTTAAAAAAATATTTTTTAATAATTAATTTTTATAAAAAGGTAAATGATTTATTTGAGAAAAAGTTTGAAGAATTAATTAAATTAAATAATTTGGCTAATAATAAATATGCGGTTAGTATTTTAATAATTTTAATCTTAAATCATTAAAAAATAATTTTTTAAAGAAGTTTGTTGGAATTGAAAATAAATGGAGTGAAATTGAAAGTGATTTTATTAAATGCAAAAATAATTTTATAACAATACAAAAATATATTGGTAATAAATTATAAATTAATAAAAAATTTCAATAATATAAAAAATTTGGGAATTGAATAAATACCGTATTTATTATAATCAAATGTCTATTCCAATTAGGGTTGCACCCCGAACGCTCGGGGGCGGGTATGTCGGGGTACGGGGTTTTCGAATTGTTTCGGGGCGGGGTACGGGTCGGGGGACCAAAATATGGTCGGGGTTCGGGTCGGGGTACGGGGTTTTTGTAAAAAAAATTTTAGAGAAAAAAATGTTAAAAAATAATTAGATTTTGGCATATTTTCGTTAATTTTTCAAAAATTAAGTAGGATATTGAGACATTAAATTGGATTTGAAGGGATTAAAGAGTTTATCTGGGTATATAAGCGGATCTGAAGGGATTAAGTGGGATTTTAGGGATCAAATGGTATATCTAGGGATGCAAGAGGATCTGGAGTGATCTTTGTTGGTCTCAAGGGATATCCTTGATTTAGAAGGATATAGAAGTATTACGGATCTCTTATTAGTTTTTAATCTGGGGAGATAATTATCTGGGATAATAAATAAATTTGGGCGGATTATGGAAGATTTATAGAGATTAACTGACATATCTGCTGATATAAGGGTTTCGAAGGATTAAGGGTGGTTCAAGGGATGGAATCTTCCTTTTTTAGAGCCAAAGACGAAAATTTTAGAATTTTTAGACTAAACTAAAAATTTATGGTTGATAATATTTAAAAATAGAATTAAACTTTTAAAATTAAAATTTAACGCTTGTTTTTGTAAAGAAAAATAACAAAACAAACGGGTTCTCCTTATTTGGATCCGAACCCTAACCTATATGAATAGAAATATAGACAAAACCAACGACTAAACCACTCAACCACAAGTCGGTTAGTTAATATGGAAATACAATATTGATATTTCATTCAATTTTCTTACAAAAATAATAAAGGCAAAGCAAATTGGGAGGAAGTTTCTAAAATTTTTCTCTTTAAATTCTCCTTAAAAATGGCGTTTTTAGGGGTGTATACCCCGAAAACCCCGAAACTTTTTCGGGTCGGGGGACGGGGTTTTCATTTTTTTCGGGGCGGGGTTCGGGTCGGGGAAATTTTGGAAAAATCTTTCGGGAACGGGGGTCGGGGTTCGGGGTACGGGGTCAGGGTGCAACTCTAATTCCAATTGAGCTGCCCTTTGTAAATATAAATCAGTTATCTTTTATTTGTTTTAGTTCAATATTATCCTGATATTTTCGATGAAGTCTGATCCAGAAAGGCGATTAAGGGCAATATCAGAAATTTGGAAGGATTAAGAAGATATCAAAAGATTTGGGGAAGATATCTAGGGATTTAGGGATTTGTATATCAATCTTAGGATCTATAGGAGTTTGGAGAAATTAGAGGTAGTATTTATGGATTTAGGTAATATTATGATTATTGTTTGGACAGTAAAAAATAAACTAATGAATTTTTGCGTTTAATTTGTTGTAAATAATTTAAGGTGATGATATTGTTTATGTTTATGCAAACAATTCATTTAACAAACCACAAAATTGTCTAAATTATTCTTTATATTGTTATGAAATTAAATATAAATTTGAAGACAAGTTTCATAATAGTGAAAAGAAGGTGCTTATTGGTCTAGAAAATTCTGATTTAGAACATATTTTGTATTCTCCAAATTTTTTTGGAAATAATTCGAAAATCCGATTTGAATATGACATTTCAAAACATAAAATTCTAAAAGAATTTTATTGAAATTTATTTATTTAGGTTAATTTCGTTTAGGTTTTTATTTTTCTTAATCTAAATTATTAATTTTTTTAAGTTTTTACTAAATTTCTAAATAAAAACTTTATTTGTGATACATCAAAAAGGGCACGTGGCCATAACGACGCAAAACCATAACTAGCTGAAAAATTTCTGGCCCTTATCAATTTTGAAACCAATTTCTCTAGCTCGATGAGAGGAATTGTTTAATACTAAATTTGGTAAGATTCGGAAATTTTGAAGCAGGTTATGGCTTTGCGCAGTTATGGCAGCGTGCCCTTTTGAGCTGTCCCCCTTATGTGACCATACTTTTTTGTTCGCAAAATAGTCTTTTTTTAATTTTGTTTATTTTTTCAAAAAATTTTATAATTATTACTTAATTTTGTTTAATTTAAAAGAAATTACTATAATAAAATAAGCGATTTAATTTTGTATATTTTGTATTAAAAGTACAATTAAAAAAGAATTAGTGTATTGGGATTCCCGACCTAAAAACCTTCAGGAATTCCCGATTTTCGTGGATCGGGTTACCTAGATCCCAGATCTATAATAATACCGAAAAGTACTTGTACCGAGCAAGCATTGTTTAAAAAAGAATAGCTGTCACAAAGATGTGTAAATCGTCGGAATTTATTTCTATTTAATTAGAAAAGGTAAAAGTTAAAAAAGATTTATTAAAAGTGGAATTGGGAAAAAATTACTTTTTTTAGTTTATTTAATAAAAATTGGAAAATAAATTTTTAAATAAATTTGAAAAAATAGTAAAATCTTAGAGCTGTAATAAATCGAAATAATAAATCTAACAACAATTAAAGTCGCCTCCTTAAGAACAGGTACTATTACAAGCAAACTTGAAAAAGTACGAAAATAATTTTATAAAAAAATTTTAATTTAAAAATAATTTTCAGGTAAATTTAAAAAATTATTTGAGGAGGTAAATTATTAAAAAATAAAAAAAATTATTTTTAACCAACCAAAAATATTTTACCAGTAATTTGTTTTACACATAGAGGAATTTTTTTGTTTTTGAAAAATATTTTTAAAAATTAAAATAGATCGTCTTCCTCAGCAGCAGCAATTCTTTCTTCATCTTCCTGACTTCTTTCAATTATATCCCCAACATCATCTTCTTCTTCCCCTTCAGAAGTATCAGATTCTTCCCCTCCTTTTAATGATTGTTCATGTAACATAACATATTCTCTTGAACTAAATCCAAATTTTAAAACATCTTTTTCTTTTAATTGGTAATAACGTTGAGCTTCTATTCTTTCACCATTCTTTAAAATAATAAAATTATTAAGAAGGAAAAATTGGAGCAAATCAATTGAAATTTGTAACAAAAAAATCCACGAGACTTTTTCATAAAAAATTCAAAATTTTCCAGTGTACAAGGAAACGCGTTGATAAAAAATAAATCCTCTATCCTTTGGGAATCGGGTTGTACCAGTTTCTACCCGAATATGTACTGGTTTTAATCCCAAAAAATCAAATAATCCATTAAAAAATCTAGTTACCGTAAATGTTCCAATAGAAGCCCTGGGCGTCTATTTTTCAATGGGTTCCCCATTGGGTGGGCTTCTAATGGGACATGGGCGTTTATTCTTCAATACCCCTCATTGAGTGTGCTTATAGGTAATAGGGCATGGGCTTCTTTTGGAGCCGGGCTTCTATTGGAACATTTACGGTATTCAAAAATAAAAACTTTAAAAAATTATTACCAAAAATGTTCCATTTCCTGATCCCAAATCAATTATGTAAGGACGAGTTCTCTATAAAAAATAAAAATTTATTTTTTAAAAAATATTTCCAAAACAAAACTCTTCCTTTAGACCCATCAGCCCTTTCAAAAGGCATTGAACGATATTGAAGAGCTGCATGTTGTTTTGAACAACTTGGGTGATCAATAGGGAAATCGGCAACTTTGTGATCACGTCCAATTAAATAAGCTGATTGGCGATGGACATAAATTACTGGCAATGATTCTTCTCCCTGGAAAAATAAACGGATAATTTAAAAATTTAAAAATTTGTGAGTGGGAAAATTAAAAATGGATTAAAAAATGTTTTTTGAACTTAAAAACAAAAAATTTAGAAAATAAAAATTTAGGGAAATCAATTAGCATTCCAAAAACATGCACATGCAAGTTTGGATATTGTAGGTCTCGTGTGGACCTGGATGAGAAATGGTTGTGTTTCGTATCGAAAAATCCCGGGTTTTAAGTATCAAATAATCCCACTCATCTGTGTTTCCGATAACTATAGGACTCCAAAATATAAAAACAATAAAAACAGAAAAATAAGTAAAATTAACAAACCTTAAACGGATAAATCCTCCAACGCAATTTTGGAATTTTAGCTTCTGGAGGTTCATTATACTAAAAAATTTGAATAAAAAATTTTTTAATAATTTAAAACAAAAAATCTACCTTAACAACAACACCTTTAAATGTATTTGTGTCTTGTGCAAGTTTTCCAGAAGGTTCAAATGAAGGTTTTTCTCTTTCCTCTTCCTTCTTTTTTAAATTATTAAATGAAGGTTGTTCTTCTTCTTCTTCATTTTTTATTTCTTTTTTCAACGCTCCACTAGGTTCCCATGAGGGTTTATCCCATCCACCAGGCGGTGGGTCCATTCGAACAAATTTTCGATTAGAATGAGAATGACGTTTTGAACGGTGTTCATAATGATCGTCATCTCTTCTTGAATCTCTATCGCTACGTCTCTAAAAAAATAATTTTACACGGAAAGGTTGCGAGGTGTCCGACCTAAAAACGGTCGAGACCGGGCTCATTCAATAGAGAATGTGTCCTTTCTAGCAAGGATTTTGTGCCGTTTTTTGATCTGGCCAAGATATGGCCCTCCAAAGTTATATGGCCCTCTAAAGAGCCTGGAAATTTTAAAGAAAATACAGGAAACAAAAATTCCATTCTGCGTTTCGAATTATCTTCCCACCCAAACCCCTAAAAACGCTATAGGAAACAAAAAATACTCCTTTCTAATTTTATAAAAATTTAACAAACCCTTGATGTTTTAGGACTTCTTTCTCTTGATCGACTTCCTTCTCTGCTATATCTTTCTCTTGAACGGCTCCGTTTTCTGCGACTATGAGATGAAGAATGTGGACTTCTACCCATTGAATAAAATAAATAAAAGAAGCAAATACTCTAAACTATAAAGAATAAAATTTTAAAAAAATTCAAAAAATATTATAAAAGAATTTTAATTTTGGAAAAACAAAAAATAAATTTTAAATAAAATTTATTTTTAATCAGTTTTCTTTAAATTTTAAAATAATAAAAAAAAATTTTGTAGAGAGAAAATTACAGGTGAAGAATTTAAAGAAATATTAAAATATATTTGTAGTATTCACACAGTCGGAATTTTAAAAGTAAATACAAATTCATTCATTATTTAAAAAAATTTTCCGTTAAAATTTTTTAATATTTACTTAAAAAATCAGAAATAAAAATTTTTCATAAATTCTACAGAAAATCATTTCTAAAAAAATTCCAACATTATCAAGTAAAATCAGTTCAGAAATAATGAATGAATTAACAAAGTAAAATTAAAAAAATATATTTTAAAGACAAAAAGTCTCCTTTATTTTTAAATTTATTTATATTTAACCAAGAATCTTTTCAAAAATGTTGCCAATCATAGGCAATATTTCGATGATTCAACTCATATTGATTTATAACTTCTTCAGCAATTTCTTGATGTAACCACTGCCTTTGAATTTTCCAATAAAGTTCTTTGTTTAAACGCATAGGATTTCCACGTCTAAATAAAAATTGAAAAAAAATTTTATTTAAAGGAAAACCTAAATCCAGGGTCAGTCTCTCCAAATTCATCAACATAAGGTGCATTTTTAAAGCAACCTCTAATAGATTCTCCAGCAATATAAAGAAAGAAAATTTGGCATTCGCGAATTCTTGAAGTAAAAAAAGTAAAGGGAATTCCTTAAAAATTTAAAGAAACCTCAAAAATATTCCAGTAGAACCATGGCAATGACTTAAATGATAAGCACAGGCTCCCATTTTTTTACCAACAACCTTTATTTAAAAATTAAAAAAATAAAAAAACTTTTTTCAGAAAAAACCTCAGTTTCACAACAATAACTATGAGAACCTGAAAATAAGATTTACTTAAAATTATAAATTTAATTTTTACATAAAATTGTTCCACAACATAAACACAATGTTGGAACCATTGTTGTTAATTCGCCGATTATTGGACACCTAAAAAATAAATTTTACGAAAAAATTTTCAATTAAAAAATAAAATGCAACAAAATCTATAGGCCAAAAATAAGAAATTTTAAAAGATAAAAAATACTTCAAAGCACTATTTTTTAAAATTAACGTTTAATTCTATTCTCTTTAGGTTCTCTTCTCACATAGCAAAAATTTCAAAGCAATGTTGCATTAAATAAAAATATTAAAGAATAAGGTTGTCAAACAGTTAGAAATCTTCGGATATCCGGATCCGATATCCGAACCGAAAATTTCCGTATATACGGTCTTTTTCGGATACGGATCCGACAACCCTATTAAAGAACACTTTATTAACTACACACAAGAAACAGATTTAATTCAATTTCAATAAAAATAGAATACCTAAACCGGACACTCATATTCACCAATTCTCCAAAATCTTCAGGTAAATCAATTAATTTATTAACTTTGATAGGCAATGAACGAGGAATTTCATTATTGACAGATTCAGTTGGAAGTGTTTGACATTGTGACCACCTAAAAATTAATAAAATTTAATTTAAAAATTTACAAACATTCGAAAGAGTTGTTCAACTTCAACACCTCCAAGTATTTCCAAAATTGTAGAAGGAAGGCCAAGATAACGACATAAAGGAACAAAACCATCCAATGAAGGATCTAATTTTATAAAAATTATGTAAAAAATATTTTCTAAAAACCTTTCAAAGATTCAGGTGGTGGAACAAGTGTAATACAATTATATAAAATGGCTAAAGGACGCAAGAATGTGATTGTTGCCAAATGGAGTCGCTGAAAAAAAATAAAAATATTATTAAAAAAACAATCCACGCCTTTTATTTTTAACAATTTAAGGTAAGATTCCTCAATATTTTATAAAATGTCCATTTCTCTTATTCTCAAAAATATTTCTAAAAACGATTATCCCTAATTTAAACAGGTTCCTATGAGTAATAAAAAATTTCTAAAAATTATTCCTCACTAAATAAACCAGGTTCCCATGAGTAATAAAATTTATTTCAAATTACTGCAACTTACATAATATAACTCAATTCCACTTTTTGGCTTATAGCACCATCGTCGCTGAGGGAAAAGTTCTTTTAAACGTGCCAAAAATTCTTCCACAAAAGGAGAAGCTACAGAATCCATCTCCTCTACATTCTCATTTATTTCAGATTTAATTAAATTTCCAAGTTCATTATTTTCCAGAGATACAGGAAATTCAGAAGATTCGAATGATTCAATTACTTGGAATAAGTAGGCTACTAACGTCAAACGCATTATATACCTAAAAAGTGTGAAATAAAATTTTTATTTAGAAAAGAAACAAACAATTCATCCACACTCCCATCAGCCACTTTATATATTAATACATTTCCCGAATTTGTTAATTTTCCATCAACCCAACACCAACCAATGCAAATAACTAATTCAACCTTTAAAAATAGAATTATTGTTATTAAATTAATATTTTAAGAAAAATTTTTGTCTGGAATAAATTCTTCTCTCTTATACACACAAACAACATTGTACACTCTCTTACTCTCACAATGCCTAACAGGAATCCAAAAAACGAAATATATTTGAAGAAATCAGATTTCTCAAGTTCTAGATTCTAGGCAATCTTTGAAATTTTCGTGAAGAAAGCCTTCCATATGCGTATTAAAAAACATATAAAACTAGCCTTGATAATTTTTATTTATTAAAAAACAAACCGCCAAACTAAACATATCAATATTCATAATTTTCACATCACTATGTAGAAGTTGATCAAGATGAGTAAGTGGTTTAGAAGGTGAAGACAACTTTTGAATTTTACTGCTTGTACTTGGAATATCATCAACAAAAGGTTCAACAACTTCGCCTTCTCCAGTATTGCTGTTTGGAGCCAACAAAGGAGTTAAAAGTTGAGTGACAAGTGCATGAATTCCATAAGGTTGGCAATTAAACGGAATGAGATTAGAAACTCGAACAAAGTTGTTTAGACAATCACGCTTAAAAAGAAAGGATTTTTAAGTGAAAGTTAGGATAAATTTCAATTTAAAAGAAACCTGTCGTGTATTAAATGCACCAAAGAGAGGTTTATTTTCTGTTTCCAATTCAGAAGATATCGAACGCAATAAAAACGCACAAGCTTTGAGTATATTTACAACTTCAAATATGCGAATAAATGTTTTGACAACACGATTATTTGGATTAATTTGTGGCAAAACACCATATTCTGTTAATTGAATCTTAAAAAATTTTCAAAAATTTCTCAAAAAAGTTTTTTCAAACCTTAAACATTGCTTTAGTTAACGGTTTTAAAGTATTCCAATGTGGAATTGAAGGAGGAACGCTTTAAAAAGATAAATTGTAGATAAAAATAATTAATTTCTTTTCAATACTTTTCTTGTGTTATTTCCTTTGGTTGAATCTTTTTAGCACCAAATAGATTTTTCCCACCGAAAACATGTTGCATCATAATATGCATAAGAGCAGCTCCACGTCCGTCTAATTGCTCTGCAGTTTGTATTTGACCTGTTATAGCATCAGAAATTGAAACTAAAAATGTAAAGAAAATAGGGATAAGATTTTCTAGTACTTTTCTGTTATCTTTTTATTGTCAGACAAAATTTTTGCGTCCAATCACCTTTCATTTTCCATTAAAAAATCCGCAAATAAAGTACACAAAATTTTAAACAAATAACAGAAAAGTACAGATCTTCCTCTATTTTTCTTTTAAAAATAAAAAAAAAATACATAATGGAGAAGTGCTTCGAGATGCTGAAGAAGCAGTTCGAGATATCTGAGTCTCAATTGTTGGCGTTGAATCAACAAAAGAAGATGGGAGACTGGCAACGCTTGATTGAGAAGCACTAGTATCTCCAATATTAAGACCAACTAAATGACCAATTCCTTCTGCCGCTGTTTGAGTAGAAGAACCTCCACTTTTTGCTAATTCAGCCAAGGAACGTTCAGAATGTGACCTAAAACTTAAAATTTTTTAATTTTAAAATTTTTCCAAAACCTCTTTCGACTGTGTCCCTTAACTTGCACAGGAGGCGATTGAGTAAATAAAGCAGCTTTCACATCATTAAGCCATGTTTCAAACGTTCCACTTTCGAATGGGCGATCTGTTGAAAATCCTGTAACATCTTTCAAAGAATGATAAGATGGATAAACTGGCATAACACCTAAAAATATTTAAAAAATAAAAATGTAAATTTAAAAAAATAAATACAATTGGAAAGCCGTTTGCACAAAGGGCAGAGGAATTCACCCATTTCAGTATCCAACATTTGTGAATTCAAAACATTCATTCTACGAAGATTTTCACGAACATAAGCAGCTTTAATAAATCTAGAAAAATATATCAATACTAATTGAATTTATCCTATTTGAAATTACGAGTCCCTTAGCAAAAGGGACTCCTATTTTAAATCTTTAAGTGCCAAAATAAACTAAAAAGCTGAAACACGAAAAAAGGACCAGTCAGAAGACGGTAATGTAAGTTTACACAGACCACTTTTAATTATTCAAACTTACGTATTATAGCAAGAAAAATGCATAAGATGGGAACAAGTAGAAATATGTAATTCTTCTGGAAGATTAACAGAAGAAAAGATATCTATTTGATCACTCATCAATCGAGACAATGAACTATTTGAATTTCTTGTACATTTTTGGGAAAAAAGTCGGGAACTAAAAATAATAATTTTAAATAAATTTAAAATGAAAAAAATACTTTTGAACAAATGCAGAACAAACAACAGGATTTCCATCAAAAGAGATTGACTCCTTCTCTTGACAAAGAACACACATAATGGTAGGTTCTGGTCGTAATTGAACATCTGATTTTTTGTCTCCACAACAAACAGGAAATCCAGAATCGGGTAAGAGAGTTCTAAATATCAAATCTACAATCTACAAAAACTAGAAAGAAGAATTCACCATAACAAAAAAGGGATCGAAAATACAAATATAAAACCTCCTAGAAAAATATTTTTTCAAAACCTACGCTTTTTCACCATCATCCATATCAAAGGTGCTCGATGACTGTGAATCTTGTTCTTGTTCAGAATCAATAAGTTTAATATTTTGTGTTTTAAATGAATTTTGAAGTTGACGCATCTTCAAATTTAAAAAAATGTTTAAACTTCAAAATCGAAAAACCCTCTCCAAAGCAAGCTGACGAGTTTTTGCTGCCATCGCAGCTTTTTGTGAAGGCCCAGAAGAGCTTTCCATTTTCTTCTCGGGTTTCTTATCATCTTGTTTTCGAACACAAAGCGATTTATAATTCTAAAAAATAAAAACCTTGAAATAAAATAAAATTAATGAAACCGTAATAAGCCACCAAAGAAAATCGGAATGAGTTTCCAATTCAGATTTATTCATTAAACGTTCAAGTTTTTCAAATATTTCTTCTTTTGTAGCCATTTTAATAAAATTAAATTTAGCTCCCTGAGAATTAAAACGTTTTTGTTCATTCAAAGCCATTCCCAACAAAAATATGGCACCTTAAAGAAATTCTTTAAATTTCAAAAAAATTAAAACAAACGATAAAAAAGTTGATCGCTAACGAATCGTGATCGCCTTGTAGTTCTTTCAATTATTGTGTCTATCAATTTAATAAAAACGTAAGATTCCATAATCTATAAAATTAAAAAATAAAAAATTAAATTAAACAACAAACTCGAAGAATAGGCGCAAAAAATCGTGAGAAAGGTGGCGGTAAAGGAGGTGGACAAGCTTTTAATTCACGACTGAGTCCAGTTCTATCTTTGTTTTGTTGTTGTTCTGCCATTGAAGCTAATTGTTTATTGTCTAAAAATAAAAATTATTTAAAAAATTTTTTTAATATATCACAATGCCAAAAGAACGGATTATACTCTGAACGAAGAGATTCCTTTTAAAAAAAATAAGAATTAAAAAAACAATCTCTAAAAAACCTTCAAATAGAACTGCCCACTCGATACATTATTTGCTCTCTTAAAATTTCCAACATTTCGAACAGCATTTTCCAAAGAAAGCCTTTGAATAGCTGGGTCATTAGGAATACACTTTAAAAAAATAAATAAATTTTGGATAATAATTAAGCAAAAACCTTTTCAATATAACTAAAAGGCTTTGGACCCGTAGCCAAAATATGAATAATTTCTCTTTCAAGTGTTCCCTGTGGAGATGCTCCCTCACTCAAACCAATATAATAACGTTCTCCAAATAACATGATTCTTAAAAATTAAATAAAAGTTAAAAAATCTATCAAAAAATCTTACAATAAATGCAACATCTCCTCAGCAATATTAGAAAAAATTTTGCTCGACTCATCCCTACTACTTCCATCAGATGCATAATTTTGATTTAAAGACTCCTCAAAGTCAGGTTGTGCCCATTTTGCTAACCCAAAACGATCAAGCATACGAATCATAAATATGTTTGGTTCCATTATAGCACCAACAGCCTTTTAAATAAAAAGTATTTTAGAAAACGAAATT